TGCTAAGCTGCGCTATGCTATGCTATGCTATGCTATGCTATACTATGTTGCGCTATGCTATGATACGCTATGTTATGGTATGCTGTGCTCTGCTATGCTAAAGCTCAGCGAAGCTAAGATTAAGGTAAGCTAAGCTAAGATAAACCTGAGCTCAGATAAAGCTAAGCTAAGCTAATCTGAAATAAGCTAAGCTAAGATGAGATAAGCAACGCTAAGCTAAGGGAACGCAACTGGGGGAACCGCGGCGCGGATACTGGGGGAACCGCCCGGGCCGGTTCCCACTGCCCGGCCCTTTAAGCCAAGAGAGCAAGAACCCTTCTAGGCAGAGCCTAGGTAGGGAATAAAGATGGAATGCACCGCACCGCAATTCATAATCAAATGTCAACATCCACTACAACGAAACGATATGATGCAACCGCTGCGCAGAAGAAACGCAACGCAACCCGTCGCAATGGAAATGATGCTCGGGAAGGGCCCAGCTCTATGCAGCTGTGGGTAGCGCACGGCGCAAGGTAACTCGGCACAAGAGCGGACACTATCAACGTCACCGAAGATCCTCACATCCACGAGAAACGGGCGTGATGCTCACATGTGGACAGGGCCGCTGGGGCCTTCGGTGAAGCTCATTTTGGGTCCACGCAGCGTGTGAGGGGTGTGCCGAAACGGGCGTGACGCCCACACGTAGGTGGTGCCTCTGGGGCCTTCGGTGAAGCTCCCTATGGGGGTCACGAAACGCGTGAGTGGTGTGCCGAAACGGGCGTGACGCCCACATGTTGACGATGCCGCTCGGGCCCTCGATGGAACTCCCTATGGGGCCACCAAACGTGTGAGGGATGTACCGAAACAGGCGCCGTGGCGCCCACATGATGGCGGTGCCTTTAGAGCTTTCAGTGGAGCCCTCTATAGAGCCACACAACGTGTGAGGGGTGTGCCGAGACGTGCATGCGGGGGGCCGGAGGCAGGGATTGGAAGAGGGAGGATGGGGAGGGGGAGGAGAGGATACGCAGGGCGCTGCCTTTTCAAACCGAGGACACAACACCACAGGATGGTTAGGGAAAAAACGCCAGGGAATGGACCCTTCACGCATGAGCCATACCATTATCCTGACAAAGGACACAACCATAGACAGGTGTGGGTGCCGCAAGGCCAGTGTACAGAAGAAATGGTGATGGGGCCACGACGCGTGTGAAAGGTGCCACAGTTGGGCGGGGCCACCATGTGGCCGTGGCCACTGGGGCCTTCCGTGTACCTCCCAATGGGGCCACGAAAAGTATTCAGGGTGCACCGGACTACGGCGGGTCGCCATGCGAACGCACCTCCTGGGGCCTTCGGGGGAGGCTCCCAAAGGGGCCCCGACACGTGTACGGGTGTGCCAGAACTGTGCAGGGCCGCCACGTGAGCGCAACCACTGGGACCGTCGGCGGAGACCCCTGTGGGGCTCCAACACGTGTGAGGGGTGTGCTGACTGACGTGGGGAAGGGGCCGCAATACGCCGTAGCCACGGCGGACCTGCACATGTAGGGGGCAAACAAACCTACCTCGCTTTTGACCGCCCTCGCCCCCCAAGAGATACCGAACGATGCCAAACTACGGCCTGCACTGGTCAGGCCGCTTGACGAGGAGGCGCGTGATACAACTCGGTTCTGCCTGGAAGCGAACGCGGGGCAGGCAGTTCACGCTCTGCACGTGGGGCCACGAGGCGCGCCAGGAGCGCGGCGCCGAGCTTGGCGGGGGGCACCGTGACCCTGCCACGGTGGCCGTGGAGCGCGTGAGGGGCGTGCCGAAGTTTGACGGGCGAAGAACGGGCGGGGGCGCCTGTCCCAGGGCGGCTGTCGGGGGCGCCTGTCCCAGGGCGGCTGGAAAGTCTATACCCTTGCGGTGGCACCGTAGGGGTGTAGACTTTCCAGCCGCCCAGGGACAGGGCGCCCCCGACAGCGAAAAAGTTTCTGTTATACGTTATACCGTTCTTCGCTGGCTGAGAAGTGGGCGGGGGGGGGGGGACGCTCTGCGAGCGATGTCCCAGGTGATTTTGGTGGGGCTCCCCATGGGGCCACGAAGCGCTCGAGGAGCGTGCTTCAACGCGCGCAGAGGGGACGCCGTGTGCTCCCTGCCGCCGGGGCTCACGGTCGGAGCTCCTGGTACAGCCAGGGGCGGGGTAAAGTGCGTGCCGAGAGGGTGCCTTCGGTGGAGCCTTCCATCTGGGGCAGTGAAGCACGTGAGGGGTGTGCCGAAAGGGGCGGAGGACGCCATGCGGAACCTGCCGCGAAAGCCACCAAATCAGGCCACGACGCGTACGAGAGGCGTGCCGAAGTGGGCGGGGGGCTTTATACCAACCATGCCGAAGGGAGCTTCGGTGCAGCCCCCATGTGGGCCACGAAGCGTGTGACGGGTAGGCCGAAATGGGCGGGGGGGAGCATGTAACACCACGCCACTGAGGCCTTCAGCGCAGCCCACCGTGGGGCCACGAAACGCGGGAGGGGTGTGCCGAAATAGACAGGGGGCCGCAATGAAACACCTTGCCACAGAGGCCTGCAGATAAGCTTCATGCGGCGACACGGAAAGCGAAAGATGTGCAAACGTGCGAGATGTGTTTTTTCGACAGCGGCTGAGGAACCTCAGTCCAGCAGCTCGACCCCCACATCTTGCACTGGCGGGTCAAAAACCAGTACGGCCTTGTGCAGACGGCGTTGATAATTCTGCCTTCATCCCCGCGACTCGTGCGCGGCGTTGCACTGCGATTCAAGTCCAGCCTGATGCACCACGACTGAGCACCGAACACGTGGACAGCCGCGGCCTCTTTCATGAAGGTGGCAACCAGATGCGGACCAGGCTACAGTCGGACTCGATTGCATAGGACACGCGAGAGGACACGAGACCCTTCCGAGGGCCGCATGAATGTAGGATGCCTGGGTCGCGAGACACAGGACACGAGGGTACCCTTGACTTGGCAGGGTCGACCTACTAATCTGGGCCGACTGTAGGCGATACCACCCCAAAGGGTCATGCCTGCTCCAGCCCACGCCAGCCCAGCGCCGCGGAGGCGTGTGGATGCGAGGGCGCGGCGCGCTCCTTAGGCGCGCCAGGGAGAGGTTATCCTGGAGGTCGATCATGCCCGCTCCAACCCAAAATAGAAAAAAAGGCTCAGACGACGCTAGCCAACGTTGGCCCCAACCCCAGCGACTCGTGCGCGGCGCCGCACCGAGACTGGCAGCGAAACGTCTGCGCCAAGACTACAAAAAAAGCAGCTCCAGGCCGCGACCTCTGTCGAGAAGGCGGCAGGCAAGTTCGGAGACGCAGCGCAGTTCCCGCGCCACGCAGGCGACGCCCCAGGGCTCATGCCTGCTCCCGCCCGTGCAGCTCAGCGCCGCGGGGGCGTCCGGCGCACAGACGCGGCGCACTCCTTAGGCGCGCCAGGGAGAAGTTGCCTCGAGGCATCATGCCCGCTCCGACACAGCCCACCGCCGGGGCGATCGGGAGGGAGGAGGGAGGAGGGAGGAGGGAGGAGGGAGGAGGGAGGGAGGAGGGAGGAGGGAGGAGGGAGGAGGGAGGCCAAAAAAGCGCGGCGCGGTCCCTCAGGGCGCGCCGAGACCGAATTCCAAGCACAAAGCGAGCTACAGCATTGCCTGCACGCCACGGGCACCCTCGGGGAATGCTCGGTTGGACCCTTGGCCCCCTCGGGGCAACACGAACCCAGGCACCCCACTCACAGAGGCACGTGGGCGTTGTCCTCCTCCCCTGGCGACCCTTTCGCCGGAAGAACGAGGAACTTCTCGCCGGCGCCCCCTTCCGCATCGCCGCCCACGTCCATGTGCAAGCTCACGGCGCCGCCGCCGTCCAGGCCGACGCGGCCGTGGGCCAACACCTTCTTCCGCAGCGTGCGCCACAAGCACAGGGCCCACAGGCATCCGCCAGCGGCCACAGCAACAACGCCGATCTCCATGCTGCTCGACTCGGTGCCCGCCTCGACCTCGGCCCCCGTGGGCTCGGCGGGCGGCGCGGGCCCGCCCGACTGGACGCCCGTGCCTCGAAGGGTGCCCGATGCCGCCGCCGGCGCCGAAGCAGGACCGTCAGACCCCATGGCCTCCTCCAGGAGGCGCCGAGGGCGTCTTGCCTGCGGTGCCTGCGTCGGTACCGCAGCTGGCGCCGGCATGCACAATCTCCACCCACCTCTCTGCACACTGAAGTCGGACGACCACACCATGCTCCCCGTCGGCGTGACGCCATCGGGACCCGAAATTCCAGAAAACGTCTCTCCGTCGACGACGAGGTAGTCGAAATACGACTCCACATCGAAACTCTCAACGACGATCGGCGCTGCATTCGTCTCGTCGATCTCAACCGTACACTTCTCGTTGGCACCGTAGTTCTGCGGATAGTTCGCGCTCTGCACACAAGTGCCGTCTAACGAGCACTGGCCGATAACGGCCGCCCACATGTGCTGGGGAGCGGGCGTTGGAGGGATGGTCGCCGTCGTTGGTGCCGCAGTCGGGGCAATTATCGGTGCCGCTGTTGGGGAAGTGGTCGGTGATGCCGTCGCCGTATCAGTTGGTGCAGTCGTCGAAGAAACTGTCGGTGAAACTGCTGGGGTTGGCATGCACAACTTCCACCCGCCCTTCTGCACGCTGAAGTCGGACGACCACACCATGCTCCCCGTCGGCGTGACACCATCGGGACCCGAAGTGTGAGAAAACGTAACTCCGTTGACAATGATGTAATCAAAATACGACTCCACATCGAAACTCTCAACGACGATCGGCGCTGCGTTCGCCTCGTCGATCTCAACCGTACACTTCTCGTTGGCACCGTAGTTCTGCGGATAGTTCGCGCTCTGCACGCAGTTGCCGTCTAGCGTGCACTGGCCGACAACGGCCGCCCACATGTGCTGGGGAGCGGGCGTTGGCGTCGGGGACGGAGCAGTTGGTGCAGCCGTTGGTGCCGTAGTCGGCACAGCTGTTGGTGCCGCTGTTGGGGAAGCTGTCGGCGATTCGGTCGGCGCAGCAGTCGGCGCAGTGGTCAGTTGCCCGGTCGGTGCTGCAGTCGGAGCGGCAACTGGTGCAGCTGTCGGCGCACTCGTTGGTGGTGCAGTCGGCGCAGCAGTTGGTGCCTCGGTCGGCAGAGGCGTCGGTACTGGTGTTGGGGAAGCGGTGGGTGCTGCTGTCGGTGCGGAGCTCGGTGCTGCCGTCGGTGCAGAGCTCGGTGCAGTCGTTGGTGCCGCAGTCGGGGCAATGACCGGTGCCACTGTAGGAGAAGCAGTGGGTGATGAGGTCGGCGTAGCAGTCGGGGAAGCCGTCGGTGCTGCTGTTGGCGCGGCTGTATGCGTTGCCGTCGGCGCTGGGGTCTGCGGCAGAGCCGGCGTTGGTGGCGGTGCAGGCGAGCACAACCTCCACCCGCCCTTCTGCACGCTGAAGTCGGACGACCACACCATGCTCCCCGTCGGCGTGACGCCATCGGGGCCCGAAGTGTGAGAAAACGTAACTCCGTTGACAATGATGTAATCGAAATACGACTCCACATCGAAACTCTCAACGACGATCGGCGCTGCGTTCGTCTCGTCGATCTCAACCGTACACTTCTCGTTGGCACCGTAGTTCTGCGGATAGTTCGCGCTCTGCACGCAGTTGCCGTCTAGCGTGCACTGGCCGACAACGGCCGCCCACATGTGCTGGGGAGCGGGCGTTGGCGTCGGGGACGGAGCAGTTGGTGCAGCCGTTGGTGCCGTAGTCGGCACAACTGTTGGTGCCGCTGTTGGGGAAGCTGTCGGCGATTCGGTCGGCGCAGCAGTCGGCGCAGTGGTCAGTTGCCCGGTCGGTGCTGCAGTCGGAGCGGCAACTGGTGCAGCTGTCGGCGCACTCGTTGGTGGTGCAGTCGGCGCAGCAGTTGGTGCCTCGGTCGGCAGAGGCGTCGGTACTGGTGTTGGGGAAGCGGTGGGTGCTGCTATCGGTGCGGAACTCGGTGCTGCTGTCGGTGCAGAGCTCGGTGCAGTCGTTGGTGCCGCAGTCGGGGCAAGTATCGGTGCCTCAGTGGGGGAAGCAGTGGGTGATGAGGTCGGCGTAGCAGTCGGGGAAGCCGTTGGTGCTGCTGTTGGCGCGGCTGTATGCGTTGCCGTCGGCGCTGGGGTCTGCGGCAGAGCCGGCGTTGGTGGCGGTGCAGGCGAGCACAACCTCCACCCGCCCTGCTGCACGCTGAAGTCGGACGACCACACCATGCTCCCCGTCGGCGTGACACCATCGGGGCCCGAAGTGTGAGAAAACGTAACTCCGTTGACAATGATGTAATCGAAATACGACTCCACATCGAAACTCTCAACGACGATCGGCGCTGCGTTCGTCTCGTCGATCTCAACCGTACACTTCTCGTTGGCACCGTAGTTCTGCGGATAGTTCGCGCTCTGCACGCAGTTGCCGTCTAGCGTGCACTGGCCGACAACGGCCGCCCACATGTGCTGGGGAGCGGGCGTTGGAGGGGATGCCGGAGTTGGCAGGGGCGCTGGTGCAGGGGAGCCAGGCACCCCCATCAGCTCGTCAATCCAGTCACGTACGTAGCTGACCCGAGACCAGACCCCAGGGTACTGCTCCATCGCGCACCCGTAGCCCCACGATGTGGCTCCGTGCAAGACGTAGGCAGCGCCACCAGACGCACAGACGAGCGGCCCGCCACTGTCTCCCTGGCAGGCGTCGGTGACGTCCCCGGCGCCGTTGACGCCCTGCGCGCAAAGCATGTCATCGGTGATCGCCGCACTGCCATAAGCAGCGCCGCAGTCCAAGTTGCTGAGGATGCTCACCTGCGCTTCCTGCATGGAGTCAGGGGAGGGCCCTCCAGAGGAGAGGGTACCCCACCCGGTGATGAAGCACTCCTCACCGACAGCGATATTCTCATTGGGCAAGCATGCTACCCCGATACACTCATTCAAGGGTGCGGCATCGACCAGCTCCACCAGGGCGAAATCGTATCGCATCGTCGAGCTGTCATAGTCTGGATGCGAAAACACTTCCTTCACCTGTAGGACCACCTCGGCCGCATCGGTTGTGGACTTGCTGAAGCTGCCCGCCACGATGGAGAACGACCACCCAACACAATGGGCAGCAGTCAGGACCCAGTTCGAGGCGACCAGTGTTCCTCCACAGAAGTGCCCGTAAGAAGACGACGAGAGGGAAACCTGCCACTTCCACTCGCACGACGTGGCGTCTTGCCCACCCACGATGCGCTCGCCGCGTCGCGTTTCCCAGAGAGTGTAGTCGGTGCCCTTTTCGCCGCAGACCGGCGCGGGCGTCGGTGGCGGCACGGTGGGTGCAGTCGCTGGTGTTGGCGAAGCGGTCGGCGATGCTGGAGGCGCAGCAGTTGGTGCTAGGATCACCAAATTGACAGTGGGTGAAGAGGTCGCACCGTCAGTGATACAGCCGACGCATGTCTTGGCAGTCAGGAGATCCCACCTCTCTGCAGCAGTCATAGACCCAGCGGTTGGATGCGCCTCGTACATCCTGGCAGCGAGCCCCGAAACATGTGGGCAAGCCATGGACGTGCCGGTGGCGTACCAACTGTGGGTGTCGCTGAGTGGCCCCGCCGAGAGGACCCTCGTGCCTGGAGCATAGACATCGACGCAGGAGCCCCAATTGCTGTACGAAGATCGGTCCCATGAATCCCCCCAAGACCCGCCAAAAGCTGCTACCGTGATTGCCGAAGGAACGCCTGCGGGATTGAAGCCGCACGCATCCTGGTTCGAGTTCCCTGCAGCCACCACCACCGTCACACCATCGGCCACTAACGCGTCTATCGAGGCCTGCTCCGAGAGGCTCGTGCCCGCGCCCCCGAGACTCATGCTAACCACCGCTGGCCTGTTCCCGGACGACAAGATCCACTGCTCGGCTAGAATGGACCACGTGCTCCAGCCGGAGCCTTCATCATCCAAGACCTTCATGGCCCAGATCGTCGCGCCGTCGGCGACGCCGTATGTCGAAGCCCCCACCGTGCCCGCGCAGTGGGTGCCGTGCCCCTGGGCGTCGGCAGCACACGTTGTGCTGAGGGGCGAGCACAGCGTGACATAGCCAGGGTACGCTCCTGAGGCGGCCACGTCCACTCCAGCGAAAGCCCGGCCGCCAAACTCGTTGTGGGTTATGCGGATCCCAGTGTCCAGCACATACACATGTACCCCCGCACCCCGCCCCCGGACCACGTCCGCTTCGACGTACTGGATACCCCATGGGTAGGTCTGCCGCTGCAGTGGTAGCTCATCTGCCTCGAACGGCTTCATGTCTGGGACCCTTTTTAGGAACTGGTCCTCTTGTACAAACCTGACACGACCCGTGTACTTCACCAGCAGCGCGTTGAGAGCTGTTTCCGTCGCGCTCCCCGCCACAAACGGCACCTCACCTCTGCCCGGATGGCTCCGCTGCCCGTTGCTGAACTCCCGGCTCATGCGGCGCATCTCCTCATCTGTAGCATCGTCCGCCAGCACGATCGACCACTGGCGCTCCGCCCCAGCGTCGCCTGCTCTCGTGGAGACAGTGTAAATCGGCACAGCAGGCATAGGCATTGGACCTTCCGCCGTGACGAGCTCCACCACCACTGCGCACACAAGTGCCGCTCGGGCGGACGCCCATCCCGCCCAGCAAGCAGCCCTCATGGTGCCTGCGAGTGCAAGTTTTGACGATCTGGGAGTGAACCCTCGGCAAAGCTCGCCCGAGCGAGCGAGCAAGAGCTGTAGCTTGAACGCAAACTGCTCGAGCCAAGCAAAAAAAACGTGCGAGACACGTGCGAAACGGGGGGGGACATGAGCGAAACGCCTCGGACGCAACCTGCACGAGGCGCGCGCGACGTGTGCGAAAACGGGCTGGGGGGGACCGCATGCAACACCGTGTCACTCTGTGTGTGGCCTTCGGCGACCCCCCCTCCCGGGGGGCACGAGGCGCCCGAGGGGGGCGTGCCGAAGTCGACGGGAGGGGCGCGGGCACCACCACGCCGCCGAGGTCCTCGGCGGAGCTCCCCGTCGAGACGCGGAGCGCGCGAGGGGCACGCCGAAACGGGCGGGGGGTCGGGGAGACGTAAGACCCGGGTACGGGGGACTCGGGTTGGCCTGACGGGGCCATCATCAAAACGACGAGGCCCAATCTGAAATCTGACGCGAGCTCCCGCTGCAAACATCCTACGCAGGCTGGACCGTTAAAATCCCAAACGCGCTCGTCCAAAAACGACGGCAGACCCGAGTTCCGGCTTACTCGGGTCTGACGTCTCCCCGAGAGGGGGGGGGGCGCATGCAGCAGCCTGCCACTGAGGCCTTCGGCGGAGCTCCCCGTGGGGGCCACGAGGCGAGCCGAGCCGAGGGGCGTGCCGAAGTCGACGGGAGGGGCGCAGGCACCACCACGCCGCCGAGGTCCTCGGCGGAGCTCCCCGTCGAGACGCGGAGCGCGCGAGGGGCACGCCGAAACGGGCAGGGGGGGGGGGGGCGCCTGCAGCAGCCTGCCGCTGAGGTCTTGGGCGGAGCTCCGCCGCGGTGGCCGCGAGGCCGAGGCCGAGGCCGAGGGGCGTGAGGAGGGCGGGCGGGGCGGCGCCGTGCCGCGCCCTGCCGCCGAGGCCGCCGGCGGAGCTCCCCCGTCGAGGTCGCGAAGCGCGCGGGGGGCCGTCGGCGGAGCTCCCCGTCGAGGCGCGAGGCGCGCGAGGGGCTCGCCGACGTGGGCAGGGGGGGGCCGCGTGCGCAACCCTGCCACGGAGGCCTTCGGCGGAGCCTCCCGCGTGGCCACGAGAGGCGTGGGGATGCGCCGACAAGGACTCGGGCGTGAGGGGGGGAGGAGGAGGGGGAGGGGGAGGAGGAGGAGGAGGAGGATTTTTTTGACATCCACGCACCGCTGCCCCAACAATAAAGCAGGATGGGCGAGTTCCTGCAGTGACGGTGCTGCCTTTGCACGCCTGGCTTAAAGCATAAATACCCCGTGGGAGAGAGACGCTTCCAGCCAGGACGTGAGTTCAAAGAAAACCGCAGCAGAGAGCCGTCGCTCAAAAGAAGCTGAGACCTAATCGGACGAGCCCGATGAGAAGTGAGGTCTGCTTGAGGATGCTCCCGCGGCCCTGCCCTCCCTTAGGGAGGCGGCATCCGCATGACGGAGCTGTCCTGCTTCAACGTAAGAGTCCCCCCCCCCCCCCCAGCTCCAACCCCGTCCCGCCGCCCCGCACCGAGGAAGGAAGAGGAGGATCAGAGGAGAGGGGGTCCACCCTGAGAGCAGGCTCTCGCGGGTGGCGGCCCCGTAGGGCTCTGTTGTAATTAGTGCGCCCGTGGCGCTTGAGACTCCAAAAACATGCAGATGAAAGTCCGCTCTTCTCGAACCTGCCTCGGTGAAGGAAAGCACCGCAAACTGTACACAGGTAGCAATCCACACCGTCTGAGCAAGTAAGAACGACTACACAGTGGCCGAGCTGGTCTGCAACATCAAGATTGGTGCGTACAGCTGACTGAATCCCAGAGCAGTGTCCAGGCAAGGGGAGATCTTTCGCCCTCGAGCCGACGTAACATACAGAGCACTGCCAAAACTTGCCACGCCTGTTCCATTGATGCACAGGACTCTCGGCCAGGCCTCCTTCAGTCCTAGGCTATTTGATCAGCACGCATTCAGACAGGTCGAGGCGCGGCCATCTCGGAAGTAGCGTGGCAGCTAGACGGCAAACTGTCTTGGAAATAGCAATCATTCGAGAGAGTGCTTCGTCAACAGCATTCGCAGGGCGAGGGTGCTTGGCCGCTCCTGCTTTTGCTGCTGCGTCTGCATGGCCGTTGCCACGCCTGCGCACACGCTCATCATCCGAAATGCCTTCTTCCTCGGGGTCTAGGTGCGCACGCACCTTAGAAACCCTCGAAAGATTGTGGCATTTATTCACGTACTGAAACACACCAGAATATGTTCGCTTATAACTGAGACGCTGAACGGCTGGCAATTGGTAATGCTTGACTACCGCAGCACAGTCCGAGTGCCCTTCTGCTGGACCGACTGTCTGCAAGCTGGCCATGCCTAGAGCAACACATTCAGCTGCAGGCGCGCTCTGAGGCAGCGGAGCATGCACAGGGCCGAAGACAGACGACAAGAGGCAGCCTGCATCATCGACCCTGCTCACGCCCCAGCCCGCTCTACAGAGGTCCGCGATCGGGTGCCTGAGACACGAGCCATCGAACAACAGCTTACCAGCCATGTCCCCGTCTTCTCCTTCAGGAAAACCGCCCGATCTGATCTCCGCCCCTCCCGACGCGAGCGGAGCAGGCCAGGCAGCGCACGGGTGCTCGAAAACTCCACGACAGAACAAGAGGCGATCACCATCAGACAGATCGGACAACGCTTGATCTAGAATTGAGGCCTTGGCGATCTCCCCCCTCTCGCCCTGGCAGGCAGAGCAGGTCCACAACCTGCGATGTATAGCATCGCGCTCGATGCCGCAGAGTGGGCAAAGAAGTCGCTCTTCAGGCAAATCATATCCAAGGCTCGCAGCACGATCTGCGGTCCAAACTCCATTGCACGCGAGATTACGAATGCAACCTTGGCCAAGTGCCGTATACTTCTTACTGCTAGCCTGAGCACGCACAATGTCCACGCAGACTCTGCCCCATCCCGTCTCCCACTTCTAGGCAGGGCTGCACTCTAACAAACGAACACACTGTTTGCGAGCGAAGTCTTTGAGGAGGGTGGGGCGGACGAAAGTGAGGAGGATATCAACTCCGTCATGGTCTCTGATGGTGGCAAAATTGGGCATGGTCCATTTAAGCCTCTTGAGCGATAAATAAAGCGCCGAGACGGGACCAGAGACCTCGGACCATTTGGTGATCTTGGCTCCTTCCTCGAAAACCAGAGACCATGCACGGTTTAACTCGGACATCGGGATGGAGTAGAGGAAAGAATGACACAGACCAGCCCAAACCTCCTTGCCCCACCGAACGACAGGCGCACACACTCCGTACCAACAAAGATCGTTCTCCATCGCCAAGGCGGCCGTGAGTGACCGGCTCCCGCTGGACGGCCTTCAACATTTGCCCGCAGCCACACGCATGATCTGCAGCTCTCTGTCGCTCACACCGTGGACCTCGGACCCGTAAAGCAAACCAGGTAAGGGACCAGACACAAACAACTTGGTAGCAGACCTTCCCAGGGAACGTGTTTGTCGGGCAATACGTCGGACTCTGGTTTGAAAAACTTTGGATCGGCGACGCTGCATGGGGTTGCGACCTCGATACCTCCGAGTCTTGCCAGCAGTGTCATCGATCCCCAGAATGACCGCGGTGCTACTGGTACCTGATCCAGCGAACTTACCGAGCCACTCCTGCAAACATCTTCCAAGCTTGGGGCAACTGGCAATGACCCCCGCTTTGTCGGGAGCAACTTCACAATGCAGCTCGTCCACCACTGCCTTAAATACTGCAGCCGAGCCGTGCTTCAAACCTCGCAACACATCTTTGAACTTACCTGTGGCAATCAACCCGATATCGTCAATGTAGAGGTCGAGCGAGGTAGATGGGTAAAGAGGACTGGAAGAGAACGAGCGAATGTAATATATGCGAACAAACGTGGTAGCCATACTACACCCAGCAATCACTCCCCTTATGGCCCTGTAGGGCCCATCGATATAATCAGCAATGTTGATGGACCTCATAGCCTTGTAGGTGTTGATACATAACTGAGCTATGACGTTAGGAAAATCTTGTTCAATGCATCTGGACGCTAGTACTTCGAGATTGATCAGCTCGTAGAACTTATTCAAATCCCAGAGCACCGAGGCAGCGACGTCCCCTCGCCTGGTGGACATCTCACTGCGAAGGGTCTGGCGCCAGACTACGTCGGAGGCGCTCTTGAAACCGTAGCCACCGAAGAACGATCTCATGTGGGACTCCTCCCACTCCAGCGCGCACTGTCTACGTATTTTCCCCCATATCCTATATGAAGAGGTGAAACTCCCGATAGGACGGAGTCCCCCCATGGGTTTGGGGAGCATGGCCAGCATAACAAGGCGAATCTGAAGAGGCAACGAGGAAGTCACCTCACAGACGGCAAGGATGCAAGACAACACTCTGAGGGCCCCGTCACAGAGACTGTTGAAATGACGCATGTGGAAACCATCCACCGAAACAGCCGATCTACCCGCGTATTCTTTACTGGCAGCCCCAAGCTGCTCGGGAGTAATCCTGGACAAAGGATCAATGGGAATGAAATCACATGTCTCAGAAAAATCGTCAACACTCGAGTCGGCAAGCCAGAGCGCCGAGAAACGCTTCCCTTCTGCCTGGAGCAGAGCAAGAGGGTCAGCCACCACCTGGCCGAGAGCCGAAAGCGTCGAGGATGGAACCCAGGCTTCAACAGGTCTCGTCCACAGGTGGGCCGATCTCGCCCCCTGGTCCAAGTCCTTTTGAAGCCATTCCTTCCACGACTGCTCTCCCTCCTGGCGCGAGAGAGCGTAGGCAACCGTAACCGCGGCGTCCAGCCGCTCCTGTAGGCCTGCAGCTCGCACAGGGTCCTGGCCAGCATAAGAAATCTCTGACTGGACCTCAGACAGCAAGGGGCCGTGGGGGCCAGAGGAGATGTGGTCGCAAATGAATTTGGAGGGGTGGAGAATCGAGGTCGTCCAGTCAGAGGGGTCGTGGACGCCGTCGTCCACGCGCTCCGAAGCACAACGATGAGGTCGCTTGTCCTGGCGCCACGCACGGAAAGCATGAGCCAGCCACTTGATGATAAATAACTGAGGGTGTCTACACGGACGGCGGTCTCGCTTGTGAATGTCCACCCACCAAGTCTTAGGAACCTCCCCTCTACACCCCATCCTAGGCAGGGTCTTCTGGTAAAGCCCGCACAGCTCGCGTT